TCTCTAACACACATTCTCTGGAAGCATCTTTTCCTTCTCATGACACAAACACAGCTGACATCAGACCTGCTCACAGTTTGAGCAGAACATTTTATCATCCATCCTCTCTACCTCCTCCCTCCTCCCTCCTCATCCTCCAGGAGACTACCTGGTGACCATTGAGGAAAAGAACAGCGCCACCTACCTGAGAGCCTACACCAACTGGAGACACCAGGTACACACAAAGTACTTAAAGTACCTTAAAGTACTTTGTGTTGTCGATAAGACTGCAAAATATGAATGACACTGAGACCAATAATCAGCATTTGTCAGTGTGATAATATGAGTTCTGTTTATGAAGCTTTTCTCCCTCATGTATTATTTCATGTAGTTTTTTTCTTGCTCTCCGTTCAGGCCGAGGGTAAAGCCCGTGTCGGGGTGCGTTTGCTGGGCCACCTGCTGCGTGGGGCGTCTGTGCGGGGCGGAGTGCAGATGGAGATCATTGAGATTCCTCTGTCGGAGCGTCCTGTCGCTGTGGCGTGTTGCTCGGTCACAGGGGACCTGCTGGTCGGCTGCGAGAACACTCTGGTTCTGTTCACGCTGAGGAGACCGAACCAGCAGAACCTGGTAAGAATCCAGCGACTTTAAAAATCAATATTATTGCATCTTTCAGTTCTCACAAACGATTAAAATATCACCATCATCTTATCTTGTCATAATTTAAACATATATTTGTCACATGTGACCTAATGGAAACTGTAAATATATCTATGGCCTAATTTGTGTCTCTCTGGGAAAATAACAGCAGAGTCAGAGTCCCTGGCCGAACACGCAGCAGAGCTCCAGTCAGAGTCAAGGTAACTCATCACATTTTCATTCAGAAGCTCATTTGACTCGTGTCTTTAGAACCTGGAGAAGAGTTGATCCAGTCATCCCCTCAAAAGCAGGACGCAGACTTAGATGAATCTTTCTCCAGTTTGACCTCTGACCCTTTGTTTTCCGCTCGTAGGTCAAAACTCAAGTTCAAACCAAAACGTTTCCATCCTGGACTTTGAACGCTCGGTCATCGTGCACCTTCCGAAAATGTCACCTAAACAGGTATTTCAGTCTCTACCTCAGTTAGAGATTCTTACCCCTCATTTCTTTTTTCTTTTACCTGCTGCACAGTCATAGCAGTAAATAACAGCAGTGTTTTATAGTCCATGATAACCCAAACTTGAATTAAATAAAAAATGAATTCACTTACTTGAACTTCTGTGCTCCCCCCTGCAGGTGGCGCTGTGTGGAGGATATGTTGCGGTGCAGGCAGAGCTGGAGGTGCTCGTACTGAGACTGGAGGCATCTTCTGATCCTAAACCTCTGGACGACTCCCCGGACACAGACACGTGTGGTAATAACACACGTGACAACATCATCTACTTGTTTCTGTTCATGTTTAGTTCACAGTCTGCAGGAACCTGGGATTTATCAATACTCACATCACTCACAGGTCTCAGACAGTTTGGAAACCAAGAGATCCTGGTTTACATCAAACATCAATATTTAATTCATGTGTCTGCGTGCAGTCGATCCTCTGGAGGACCAGTCCGACCTCCTGCTCGTTCCGAGGCAGCAGGAGTTGCTGGGTGATCGAGCTAAAGACTGTGACATGCCTGTCAGCATTGAGAAGACAGGGCTGGAGGACAAAGGACAATACACGCTGTCATATGTTCTTTTCAGGTGCGTGTGCGTGTGTGTGTGTGTGTGTGTGTACACATCTACATAGTATTTCTGCCATTTTACATGTGTGTGTAACTTGGGTCATTTCCGTCCTGCAGGCGTTTTACTCCAGAGTTTTTCCAGGGCTGCAGCGTGGACGAGACGCAGCTCCACTCCCTGCAGCTCTACCCGCTGTACACCAGTGAGTACAACATGTACTTATACTAGTTGGATTTGTATTCAAAGTACACAGAAGATTCACCATGACGGACAGAGTTACTTGTTCAGCTGCAGAGTGTTTGTGTGTGTTTCTGCAGGTAACCAGTCAGCGTCCTCAGAGGACCCAGCGTGTGTGTTCTGCTTCTTCTCGCTCCCCAACGCCGGATACCTGTACAGTCTGAAGGGTGGAGTCGAGCTGCTCTCAGCCTATCAGTATCCAGAGAAGGTCCTGGAGGCGGTGTTAACAGACCACCTGCTGCACGTCATCACGAAGTGCGTCTTCGGTCCGGTTTAATCTCTTTATATAGAGTCTATGGGTTAAATATGCAAATCGTTTATTATTTAACGAATGAAAATGCTTGATGCTACAATCATCGTCCTCGTGTCAACAGATAAACATCGTGATCGTTCTTTTTTCGCTGCTGAGTGACCCACGTTTATTTTGACCATATTGCGAACGGTTGAAAATCAGTGTGGTTTTGTGTTATGTGTGTGTTTGTCTGGCAGGAATGCGTTGCAGTGTTTCACGGTGCGCTGTGCGGCCTTAGCAACCAGGATCGAAGACCCCTACATAGATACCACCATGAAGGTACGAGCCTCGTCCCTGACTGTGTAACTGAACCTAGATCCTTTCTCTTTAGTCTGTTTTAGCTGATTTTGGGAGATTTTAAACATAAAAACTAGACATTTGAACTCAGCCAGTAGGTTGTGAAGAAAGTAGAGCCTGATACATTATTATTATTTGGGGCGTGATGCTGATACAGATATCTTATATATATTTGTGTATGTCTCTGTGTGTGAAGGCCTGTCCGCCCTGCAGCCTCGAGGTGTGTGCGCTCCGGATGCAGTTGTTTATCGGCCTGCGCTCAGTGTGTGTCTACGGCCGCCACGTCATCCTGCTCTCTGCCGCCGACACGGAGACACCGGAGGAGACCGAACGCAGCACACAGCGCCGCGGCCTGTAAATCACACACTCGACACGTACAGACCTCAACACACGAACACACACGTGAATGTGATATTGGCCGTCAGCTGCGTCCCTGTGGGCAGCAGAATACGTTTTCTATGTATTTATAAACCTGTTTACCGCGCACGCGTGTGTGTGTGTTGTGATTTTAGCCAGTTGAAAGAACACACCACGCTGACTGGTATTTTCCTGGCGGTGGGAATCGACCCCGCAACCACGCCGGCTCTGGAGAGCTTTCTGTCACGCCCCTTCCTGTAAGGCTATCCCAACCCCCGCCCCCGACACCACCACCACCACCCCCAGTCTCTGTTGTCTCTTTCAGTCAAGCTGCAGCAGCAGGAAACCTCAGAACCAGAAACACTCACACAACAGATCAGGTTTCAGGTTTGATGTCACACAACAGAAGACAAAAGCTTTTCTCTCTCAGCTGTGAATCAGCTTGTTTGTGTATTTTTTGCATTTTGCAGTGAAACCAACAAAACCAGCTGCAACATAATAGTGGTAATTAGCTGGAACTGGAATACGTGTGGAAAGTTTCCACTATGATGAATATCTTTCGAAAGAAAAACTCAGTCAAAGCCTTTTTTATTGAGAACATACAGCGTTGCTCTTTTTTTTAACAAGGAAGTAAATTTAGTAAGTTACGTTTTCCCCATTTCAAACCTTAATTCTGTAGTTAACACGATTCTTTGCTAATTAATGTAATTACTTTGCATTCAATAAGAAAATAAGCCCGCCTCATATGTTTAACTCAACTACGCCAGCGAAGAAATCATATAGGAAGTAAAACAAAAAAGATGATTAAATCCTGGCCACAGCCAATTATTTCTGTACATTTATATTCATATAATATATAAATATAATTTATAATGATTCACATTTCTGAGTGGATTTGCAGCTTGTTCTGAAAGTGACAACTCTCCCTGTTTTAGTCCCTAAACTTAGACGACCGTAACATACCTAACTTCCCCCAGTGTGTGTGTGTGTGTGTGCGTGCGTGTCTGCCATAGACAGTTTTGCTCACACTAATAAATCACTAACTAATCACGTGTGGGTTAAATGAAAAGAGCTGCTCTAATAATAGAATAATCCGGCTTCACGACACAGGTTCCTGTTTTGTTTGTTAGGTTCAACCACAAAATGGCTCCTGCGGTTAGTTACAGAGGCAGAGCACAGCAGAGCGTTGCCGTTTTTCATTTATCAGACAATTACTCAAGCGTTTCCACATTAAAGTCTTTAATCAGATATGTAGAAACTTAAAAAGTTCATATCTGGTGTCGCTCTTCCTCCGTCCATGGTCCATCATTTGATTTTTAATTCTCTATACTGAACTTAATAATACTGAATAAACACTACTATCATTTTCATTTCCTGACCGTCATGGCCGTGATGTTAAATATTTATTTTATTATGTATAAAAAATAGAAAAATGACACACACACACACACACACATTATCCACGTTAACCTGAACCTAACAGCTCACTAACCATTAGTCTGGTCGTGTAAAATCAGCTGTAGCTCTACATTTAGTAATAAACAGTGATTTATTACCGAGCACAGTGTTGATGATGCAGATGCTGTCGTCTCCATCATCACCTGCTGTCATTCTTTCACATGTGCAGTGTCGTGACACATAGAAAGAATCATTTTCCATCTTTGTAAATGGAAAAAAAACCTGTGATGTGTAACACTTGTGTGTTTGTGTTCAGTGTAACGGAAAGTTAAAGATTAAATTCACTTAAAACACTTGAATGTCAAGAAGCAGGAGCAGGGGAGAATTCAAGATTATAGATGTGGTACAGATGGAGTAAATGAGGAAATAGATATAAGATTAGTGCAAAACCGAAAATAGACCATAGATATTATGGGTAGAGAAAGTAGCCCAGGATGAGAGCATCATATTGTAAAGTCATAAAGACAGAACAGTGATAATAAGATAATATAAACAACAAAAGAATAAAATGTGTATTTTACAAAACAGAACATCTAAATAATTCTGTAAGATTACCCAGGAAAACACAGTGAAAGGTGAAATAAGTGTCTGTGTTGAATAGCGATGAAAGAGGCCGTGACTTTTCTAAAGCTTTCAGAAAAACTTGAAATATGAAAACCTCCGTTTCCAGACTCATGTCACGTGACACCGAACTCTCACTCTGAGATTCATTTCTTCTCTTTGGGATTAGACGCAGAGAAGACGTCGCTCATTTCTCAGGTTGAATAAATATCTCTGTGTAACTGACCCCAGGAGCAGGAAGTGGACGATCTCCTCTCCTAAAGAAACCAGCGCAGCCGGACACGGGTGGAACCTGTACGTGGTCGACACCGTCTCTCCCCTCACGCTCTACCGAGAGATGGTAACGGATGAATATCTCATTTTATTCACTGATATGTTCTGAATCATTGTTCTTGTGGCTGGATGTCATTTCCTTTCTCTCTCTGTGTGTGTCAGGTGGAGTACAGCCAACACTATTCAGAGACCAGCCCGCAGGCCCAAAGCCTTCGGCACCTCCTCAGTGAAGCTCACCTCCTCCTCTGCGCCTCCTCGCTGCAGCAGAGCAGCGAGGACGACCGCTCGGCGTCTCTGCAGGAAGACGCAGACAGACGGACGGAGAGACAGGCGGCTGCACAGAGAGACAGGGAAGAGCTGCAGGAGGCTCTGAGGCAGAACTGTGCACAGCTGGGAGACTGTTACAGCAGGTGCTCTGTGAAGGTTTCTCCCTTTTTGGAAACGGTTGAACTGAACTGTCGACGAATGAACTTCTGAGTTTCAATATCTGATCGACATCTGGTTTAAAAATAAAAACTTCTGAGAAATCTCAACGCCAACTCCTTTTGTTTCTCTCTCCCCTCCTGTGAAGGGCGAGCCAGAAGGACTGTCACCAGGCTCTGCCGTACTACAGGATGTCCGGTCTGTCAGTCACAGAGGTCATGGTCAGGAACCGCCCACTTCCCAGCAGCCCTCACTCCTATGGCCTCGGCTTCCTGTTTTACCTGAAGCATTTCCTCTTAGAGGAAACGGAGCAGAGCCTCAGTCAGGTACACGGTCGATAATTAACTTGATCATTGAATCAGAAGAAATTATGAAGCTGTCGGATGTTTTCTTTGTTTTACATCTGAGAAATAAAATAATGAACGAAACGAGAGAAACGACTGAATAATAATAAAAAATTTAAAAATAAAACTTCCCTCCCGCAGGAATCAGCCGACGAGGTCATAGACATCTTCAGCCAATCAGATCCCTCAGAGCTCATCAGCGTGTGTGCCAGCCCGTCCATGACAAACATCAGTCCGGCTCGGACGCTGCAAATCTTCCAACATCTGGAGGACAGCGCTGGCGTGTCGGTCCCGCTGACCATCACCATGGCGACCATGATGCTGCGTCTAGACAACCTGCCACAGTTCTCACAGCTGATGGACAGACACCCAGAGGTGAGGAGAAGAAGTGGAGAAGTGTACAGAATGTCTTTCTGTCTGTCTGTCTGTCTGTCTCTCTTTCTGTCTGTCTTTCTGTCTGTCTTTCTTACAGTCTGTCTTTCTTTCTTTCT